ATTCTCAGTGCCTCTCTCCACCCCTCACCAAATGCTGTCTCTTATACACATCTAGATGTGTATAAGAGACAGGGACTAGTGTTGGGGGTGACATAAGGCATCCCCCAATAGTATGTGCCCTTGCAAATGGGTCCAATCTATTGGTGAGGTGCTGCACCAGCTGGAAAAAGCGGTATACAGCCTCCATTTGCACAAGTCAGTCAGTGCAGCTAAGCATGACAGGAGGGAAGAGAGAAAGCTGATGAGGGATGGGAGAGGGAGAGGAGATGCTGGTGTGAGGTGGTCTGTAAGGGAATAGAGAATACAAAGATGAAGATTTTTTGTTTTATTTTTCAACATCTGCTGGTGCTGCTGCCAAGGGTATCCAGGTACAGCGATGAGGATCGAAACTGAAGTTTGTTATTTTAAAAAAAGAACCCCCTAACCACTGACTCGAAAAGAGGAGAGCATGATTGATTTCAGGCTAATGATACGGCAGTACTCGCCCAATTTAATTGAGTAGTGATTTAGCTAAATACGATGCGGACCCTGTTTTCGCCGATGTGGTTATTAAAGAAATTCAATGGGTCTTGCCTTAGGAGCTAGATCCTCAATTGAAACGGCGTCCAATTTTTTATTTGCATGAATGGATCGTTCTCTGATTTAAAATGAAATGAAATAGCACATAAAACTATGAAGAACAGGCTGTGCACCCGAATTCATGGGTTGGTACGATCTCCTTTACGTAAGTCTTCATAGTGATGTACCGTGGCAATAAAATGTGTCCACGAACACATTCACGAGGATGAACAAGTAACCAGTATTGGGATACATTCCTCGCGATGTATCTCATGATGCCTTTAGCAGGCCATCTGACAGACGCGGAAGCGTTCCTGTCAGATGCACCACAATATTCGAATTTCACATTTCAAGTTCTATTTCTCAGAGCCAAAAAAAAAAAAAAACGAAGTCCGGAAATCAACCCCCCCCCTTTAGAGCCCATAAAATCCAGACTTCCGGCCCACGGAAAGCCACGAGCTATCATGTCCAAGTTAGTCCAACTTCGTTTTTTTTTTTTCTTTTTTCGACGCATCTCATTGGACGGCAGGTGGGCATCTTTACAGTCCCCGCTCGGAAACTACCAGGCCGTTGAGATCGATGTATTCGATGGCCGTAGTGAGTCACTCGATGCCACACGTGATCGAAATCCTGAACGGCGTGGTAGAATACCTTGCTAGTGGGTCCAGGCCCCAGGTGTGACAATCTTCCCAGAGAAAAAGCGCAATTTTTTTTATTTTTTATTTTTAACTTTTTTTGTTTGAAAAAGAACATACCCCTGTCGGGGATCATGCTAATGAAGGTGATAGGATCATCCTCCATTAGCAGACCCCGTTTTGGATGGCTCCATCTATTAGTGGGGAGCAGCAGCTGCTGGAAAGTGGGTCTACCCAATAAAGCCAGATGCGTAGGTGGCAGAGAAAAACAACGAAAAAGTTAAAGAGAGGGTTTCCACAGGTGACGTCGCTTTCATCACAGATCCTGCTGTCACTAGCCAACATTTGAATTGATCAATTACCTAAATCCTGCCTGAGTTATGCACGCAACGCACAACAGTTTGCAGAACACAGTCCAGGGAAAAAACTCAAAAACACTTAAAAAAAGTGCAATGAAACCACCCACCACTCCTGCTGGGCAACCAGAAAATTCCCAGTTGGTAAGCACTGAGCAGCAGGCCCCCCAGTGAGACTCAGAAAACATGCAGGTGCAGGTTCGGACAGGGTGCAAAGACACGCAGTTAACGGAGGACCGAAAATTCACTGTTTTGCCACATTACCGCATACCATACTTGCATACCATACTTGCAAGCAGACGTCCGGTGTGCTTTGCCGCGTGTGGCACCCTCCCTCCGGACCAGACGGACCCTGACGGGACCGGACAGGGCCTTTTTTTTTTTTTTGGGGGGGGGGGGGGGGCGTAACTGGTCGTCGGGCGGACATTCGTGCACCGCGCGGGTCCGGTCCGGCGGTCTGCCGCACGTGCGGAACCGCCCGGACAGCGTCTGCTTGCAAGTATGCCGCATACCAACTTCTTCATTATTGGTCCATATCTGTCAAAATTGAATACGTGATGTACACTACAGCACATAAATATCACACACACACACACACACACACACAAAAAAAAAAAAAAAAAAAAAAAAAAAAAAAAACAAGAAAAAAAGAGAAAAACAACAGGGCAATATGACAGTTTCAGTGCAAAATTCGCCAAAAATACCCGCCCCTGTTAACCAACGTGTGAAAGTGAAAACGGTCCCCCTGCCTGTCAAGTCCGGCTGAAATACCGGCCCAGGCTCGGGGTCGGGCAACAATAAAAAAGACTGGAGTTGTAAACGCAAGTCAGGAGTCGTACCTTGGCAGGAACGAGAGGAGACTTAAGTACCAGGTCCAGAACGCCGCAACCCCCAGGATCTCCATCACCCATAGAAAGTTCTTCTCTCCTTTGATTATGTGAATCCATGTCTGTAGATACAGATTCACTCTCGCAACGGCCATGATGGGGTAATACGTAAAGTGTTGATAGCTGACCAGAAACCGCGCCACAGAGTCAAAGTTCATCCGCCGCTTGTGAAAATGGGAGTACAAGTTATTGAACATCTTTGAGGACACTGCAAACACAGGCATATGCTGAATATCTGGGTCGTAGTCCCTGCTGTTGCACACGATGTGGTGAATGTTATGAGTCGACTGCAACAGAAAACGACAGAACACCATCCAAGGCAAATGAGGAGAAACGTGTCAAAAAAACCATCATCGTGTGAGGTCGACGGATTGGTCGGTCTGCGGACAGCCAACGGACGATCTTTGCTCCCCACAAAAATAGATTGGGGGCGACGGCACCACGAGCACTGCTACGAAGGGATGCTTCTATCAACCCTCTTCGCTTAGCAGCAACTCCACCCAAGCTGCGTTAAAAAATAATAACTATTAACAAAAGAAAAGTCAATTTTTTATTTATTTATTTTTTTAACCACCACTACCTCTGTCACTCTTGGGAAAAATGGGAAAACTGGCTGTTTTCCTTTTCCCACTTTTTCTTAACTTTTCGGGGGCCAAGTCCCACTGGCAGCGTTGAGCTACCTCAAAGCGTGAATCTGGACATGTTTGTGGAGACGTGCAGTCCAGGAAACTCAACACCATTTCTGCACATCTCCACAAAAGCGTCCAGATTCAGGCGTTGAGGTAGCTAAAAGCTGCTAGTGCGACTTGGCCCCGGGGGTTGGAAGAGGCTCGGCAGTTGGGCCTTGAGGGCCCCTTTGAAAAACAAAAAGAAAAACAAAAGATCATGTTGGGGAAGGCCATGCACCAAGTTGTACTCACACCAAAACTCACACGTTCGTAACTTCGTATCTAACCGCTATAGTGGCCAGTTTCAGGTTTTAATTGTTTGTGTTTTTTGTTTTCGTTGTTTTTTTTTTTGTTTTTTTTTTTGGTGCCCCGCCAGGGAGGGACAGCACAGTCCACGGGCTGCTGACACTTTGTGGAGAAGGGCATGCCCACACTATTACTTTGCAGAATGTATGCACCCACTTTCTCTCTTCCTTCTTCTGTGGACCTGACCCCCTTGCTGTAACACCCTCACTGAGGGCATACTCACACAAGGACTTTGGGCTAGGTATCTACCAGGTACACGTCCAAAGGGGTGTTTGTTTTTTGAAAGTCTGGCCATGCTTTTTTTTTTTCTTTTCTTTTCAGGAGAGTTATAAAGAGACAAAGGCTATGTAAATGGGACACTGGACCCAGTTTCCAGCAGGTGACGCTCCCCACCAATAGATGGAGTCTCTACCCAGGTGTTAGTGGTGTCTGCTCTTATCAGCAACACTAACACTGGTAGGGTTAGGAAAAAAAAAAAAAAAGAAAAAAAAAAAGAAGAAGAAGAAGAAGAAGAAGAAGAAAAAAGAAAAAAGAAAAGAAACAAAACGGAACCCAGGCTTGGCAAAACTCCGTGCGCAGTGAAAATCAGGGTCAGCAAAAACAGGATCGGAGGTAGTGGTGGTTTAAATGCAGAAGATAGAGTCTTGGAGCATTCCAGAGTATTTTCGGCCAGCATTGATTGCCCTGGTAGCTCCAGGGGATTGACTGAGCTAAGCATTGGCCCTTTGGACTCAGACTTATGTTACACAGGAGGAGCAGGACAATCAGTGGTTTACCGGCACCGGCAGTGATGATGGCCCCCAGAAGAACAACCAGTAAAAGAGGGAGTATAAGCTCCAATCTCTAAAATGAGAAACCAAGTGTGGGCCCCCATGGCTGACTTCCATCCCCCCATGGCCAAATCCCGACCACACAGGGAGCCCACCGACAAACACACAACCACCCACACTACTC